AATATATTTTAGTTGATATTTTGTAAAATGCACTTTTTGTGTGTGTTGACCCTGGTTTCCCAGATCTGTATTTCAGTGTTTACAAGGGAGGGGGACCTTTCCTCACCTTCCTTTTGACAGAGATTAGAAGTACTTCTTTAAGAAAACAAAATAAATTTGAGAAATTGTATTGATTTAGAAAAGGATTGTTTCCTATGTGTCCTGTCATTTTCGATATGTAAATGTGGAGGGACTCCCTGCTCTTACTGCATGGGTCCTGCTCAACTCTGGTGGCACAGGTGCTCATGGAGGCCACTCAACAATGAGGGTAGGAAAACTGGGGAAAAGAGAGTGAGACTAGGTAGACAGAAGAGGAACTTGAGGTTGACTTCTTGACAGCATGGTGGTCACAGTCATCTGCCTGGGTGTGTGAAATCCTGGGATTGGCAGCCCTCATCTGGCCAGTGACCTGGCAGCCTGTCCTTAAGGATATGTGAAGTCAGATGGTCACGCTCTGGGTCTGGCCAGCAGAAGCTGTCCCAGGGCCTTTGCCTTGTAGCTTGTGCTTTTTAATTGCTAAGGAAGTGGAGGCCATATTGTGAGGGACTGGCCCTTGGTGCAACCCAGCCCCAAAGCGTCAGTGTTGACAGGGCTGAAGGGGGGCTGATTCTAATGCTGTGGGGGTTCAGGAAGGCAACGCAGGGCTCCTCAGCCCTGGAGCTCGGTTTCCTTGAAGTTTTCAGCGACACAGACACCACTGTGGAGCTGACGAAGCACTGCCAGCATGTGCTGCCTGCAAGAGTCCCTGGACCTGGGTGGTGGCCTATCCTTTTACAGACAGGAAACCGGCACACAGATAAACACCTTGCCCAGGCACCCCCCTCCCCCTCAGTGAGAAAGACTGCCTCACTGACTGCTAGCACATAAAACCTGCACTCCAACAGAGAAGTGCACACGAGGTCAACTTGTCAAAAACTTTAAAAAACACCTTTCTTTTTTTCCTCTCCCAGCATAAAAGGTCTTTTTTCTCCTCTCCATATTGTTAGGAGAAAAAATGATAGCAGTAGAAACTAATCCTGCCACCAGAAATCGATCTCTAGTGCTATTGGAAGCAGGCTCCGTGAAGGCTAAAGGCCTGAGATGTACCCCAGCTTTCAGAGGGGGATGCAGAAGGCCTCCAGAATCCCCTTCTCTCCTCCCGCTTATCCTGCATGCTCCCATGTTCCTGGGACCAGGAAGCTGTCTGTGCACCCTGTAATTTCATCTCATCCCCAGATCCCCTCCATCTGATCAGTGTTAGCTCCATCTCTCCCTACCATGGTGTCTTCTGTTCTTTTTCATCCTGAGGTCATCTACTTCCTCCCATCCATTCCCCATGCTCCATTAATCTCTAAAGGATTCTAACTGGGAATTAAGGTTCTAGAATAAGACCAACTAGCACTGAGTCTCAGCTTCCCAGAGCCCCTTTGCTACTTGTGCTGTACATTGCCCATGGTACCTACCAGCCAGGGTGGCTGTGACAAGAGAAAAAGGCAATAAAAAAATACTTGGCAGGCACCTGCCTCAATCCTACGGCTGTTCTGCTTCGGCGCCTTACCGGGGCTGCCTACACTCAGCATGGTCAAGTGTAGTTTCTTAGTTGGGTTCCCAGTTCGATAGGGATGGCTGACTGCAGACATCCAGAACACTCCTGATCTGCCTCCAGCCATGAGCACACACTTGGCACGAGGCAAGGAGGCTGCTTGCTGTTCCCTTCTGCTCTGAGCCCCCAGCTCACCCTTCAAGAAGTGCCCTGGCCCAGACACCAGTGATCCTGAGGCACCAGCTTGTCATTAGCCCCTGTCCAGAGTGTCCTGGTTTCCCCACTGATGTGGGCTTAGAGGTTCTGTTTCCAGCATTACCCAGGGGATAAGCATCACAGTCCTCAGGGACTGCTAAGCTTCAGGGCCAGCATGGACACTGGCCAGTGCTTGGCTGTCTCGGTTCAGGACCTGCTGGACTGAGGGAGATAAAGGCACCTGGGGCAAGCATACTGGGGAACGCTGCTTCCAGCCAGAAAGACGGGCCTCTTTCCTGTCGGTCGGTGCGTCTTTCTCTCACCCTGCGGCCTCCCGGCCTCCAGACCCCAGTGGAAGGAAGGGCTGGCCGGACTGGACAGGAGTCTGGGGCAGGGTGGTGGATGCAAGGCCTCGACCATAGCCCTGAGGGGGCACACGCCGCCCTCGGAGTCTCACCAAGCTCTTGTCCCCAAGCCTGAAGTCCGGGGAGGCCCTGGCTCTGGTGCCCTCTCCAGGGGTGGGGGGTGGGGTGGGGTCCCCGTGTAGCCCGCCTCCCGCAGGGACGCCCGCCCTTCTCCCCGCCCCGGCGTGGGCCCGCCCCCGCGCCTGTGTCACGGCGGGGGCCGGGAGTGGAGCGCGGCCGGGCGGGACATCCGGCTCTGGTCCCTTGCCGGGCCCGCCCGCTGCCCGCCCCGGCGCTGCGGCCCGGGAGCCGGCCACCCCTTCGTACCGAGTCCGGAGCGGTTCACCATCTGCGGGCCCAGCCAGGACCCTCGCCCCCCACCCCGGCCGGAGCCGCTCCACCGCAGCAGCCCTCGGGCCGGCCCGGCCTGCACCAGCCCCTGCCCTAATCACCATGCTCCCCCGCCCGCTGACCCCGCTGGCGGCCCCAAATGGCGCCGAGACTCGGGGCCGGGCGCCGAGACGCGCCCCGCTGGGGCGGGCCCGGACCGGGCCGGGGGGTCCGCCCCTGCTTCTGCCGTCCATGCTGATGTTCGCGGTGATCGTGGCCTCCAGCGGGCTGCTGCTCATGATCGAGCGGGGCATCCTGGCCGAGATGAAACCCCTTCCCCTGCACCCGCCCAGCCGCGAGGGCTGGCGAGCTGCATCCTCCAAGCCTGGGGCACCATCCCCGGAGGCCCGGGACTCGGACCTGCGAGTGCTGCAGGACGTCCGGAACCGGACTTTGCGGGGGGTGTGCCGGCAGCCAGGCATGCCAAGGGACCCCTGGGACCTGCCGGTGGGTCAGCGGCGCACCCTGCTGCGCCACATCCTCGTGAGTGACCGCCACCGCTTCCTTTACTGCTACGTTCCTAAGGTGGCCTGCTCTAACTGGAAGCGGGTGCTGAAGGTACTGGCGGGCGTCCTGGACAGCGTGGACGTCCGTCTCAAGATGGATCACCGCAATGACCTGGTGTTCCTGGCAGACCTTCGGCCCGAGGAGATTCGATACCGCTTGCAGCACTACTTCAAGTTCCTGTTTGTGCGGGACCCCTTGGAACGCCTCCTCTCTGCTTATCGCAACAAGTTTGGCGAGATCCGCGAGTACCAGCAGCGCTACGGGGCCGAGATTGTGAGGCGGTACCGGCCTGGAGCCGGACATAGCCCAGCAGGAGATGATGTCACCTTCGAGGAATTTCTGAGATACCTGGTGGAAGAGGACCCAGAGCGCATGAACGAACATTGGATGCCTGTGTACCACCTGTGCCAACCCTGTGCCGTGCACTACAACTTTGTGGGCTCCTATGAGAGGCTGGAGGCTGATGCCAACCAGGTGCTGGAGTGGGTGGGGGCACCACCCCATGTCCGGTTCCCAGCTCGCCAGGCCTGGTACCGTCCAGCCAGCCCCGAAAGCCTGCACTACCACCTGTGCAGTGTCCCACGGGCCTTGCTGCAGGACGTGCTCCCCAAGTACATCCTGGACTTCTCCCTCTTTGCCTACCCACTGCCCAATGTCACCAGGGAGGCCTGCCACCAGTGACCATGGGTGTGAGGCCAGCAGCTTTTGGGTACTGGTATGCCAGCTTCCTGTGCTTCCACCTACCATCTAGAGAAACTCTGGCTCTGGATGTTGGGGCTTTTCCAGAAGCCAGGATGGCAGGGACTATCCCAAGAGCTCCTAGGCCGAGTTGGGTACCCACAGTGGCTCAGAGACAGGTGGAGACAGGAGGCTGCTGCTCCCCACTGGGGGGATCTTGAGTGCAAGTGTGAGTTGGTTGTTTTGTCCCATCTACTCCAGGGACACTTCGGGCTCCTGGCTGCAGAGATTGTGCCACCTGGTCCACCTTAGTTTAACCTGTGGCCAACCCCAGAGGTGGCACCAGCTAGGGGCGCTGACCCTGGGCTCTGACCCCTGACTCACCCACCCCATGTGCCTCAGGACTGGAATGAGCAGTTGTGCCTTGTAAATGACTTTGGTGTCTTCCTGCTTCAGACAAAATTCACTACACTTGCCAGAATTTTGTCCATTTTTTTCAAGGAAAGGAAAACTGAAGCAAGGCCCTTGACTGGTAGCTCCAGGACCTGGCCCTGCAGTCATCCAAATACCCAGCCTCTTCCTAGAGCTCTGGGAATGTCCACCGTAGTCCTCTCTCCCTTCCCTGCAAGGCCTTTAAGGAAACAACTGTGGCTGACATTTCTGGCTGCCACTTTTCTGATGCATTTATTTAAAATTTGTACTTTTTGATAGAATCCTTATAAGCCTACCCCCTGTAGCTGATTTTTTAATAAAGCTGTTTGTACACAAAGTGAGCTTCTCTGTGATTGCTCCTCTGAACTGTTGTGGGTTGAGCAAGCCTCCTAGATGTCTATCCCTCCAGGTCAAAAGACAGCTTGCAGCTAGAGACAGTAAAACAAGGTATAACTGTATAACTTGCTTGGGCAGGTTCAGTGGGCCACTGCTAAACCATGGATCCCTTGGGGGCTTCTCATAGGACATACTGGATCTGAGATGCCACCAAAGTGCAGTCTGGGTTAGGAAAGGCCCCAGGTCTAGAGCATACCTACCTGGGTTATTTCCTGAAGAAGTGAGTATGAAGGAGACATGGGCTCTGACTCTTTTTTTTTTTTTCATTAATTTAATTGGTACATTTTAGGTATGCAATATAATGACATTCATCATTGGAAATTTGCACCTTTACATAATCTCTCTTGGTTCTTATTTTTCCTCATTCCCCTGCCTTCCCTCCAACCCCTCCATCCCTCCCTATTTACAAACACCTTGTTTCCATTTTTTCATTTTCTCATATTAATTCCATTCCCTTCTTTCCTTTCCCCGAAAGGAGCAAAGGGGAAGGGGAAGTGGGAGGCTCTGCCTCTTCTTAGGCAGGAATACTTCAATCCTTTTCTGTTCCTGAGATGGGATTGGGCAGGCTTGCCTTGGCCCTCCAGCTCCTGGGACTACATTGTGTGCCACCACACCCAGCTCAGGCATACTTCTTGAGTGCCCCCAGAGAATTTTCAAAAGAGCAAGGGGAGGGTTATTTCCTGGCACTGAGAATTCAAGGAAAGGGCTGGAGCACTTGCCTGGTTTGCATGAGGCCCTGGGTTCCATCCTCAGCACTGCAAGAGAAGGGGCAAGGAGTTGCCTTAGGTTCAGGACATTGTGGACAATGTGGGAAGAATACAGTCAGAGCAGAAGATAGGACCTAGTGTGGCCTGTCACCCCATTGCCCTGCACAGCTCCCAGGCCCACCGAGGGATGGAACAAGAGGCTGCACCTGCTGTGCCCATGCGAGAGATGCAAAGCCAGAGCTGGCTCTTCCCTAGCCCCTGGTGGGGACTGCTATACTGCTATACTGCTATCCTGTGGTAAGAGGTAGAGCCCCTGGGAGGTGAAGGGGGTCCTCGCAGGTGCCATCTGTACCTAGCCTTGCTGTTGGGCTGACATTGCAGAGGAGCACTGTCTCTGTTCCCCCGATTTGGGGGAGAGGCCTCTGTGGGCACTCATGGTTCTCTGCTCTCACTCACCGCAGACCTTACCAGATACCCCTGTCGGTGTCAAGGTCCTCTCAGCTCGGGGGACTTCACTGACACTGGTCAAACCCAAGCTCTACTCACCAACTGTCTTGTCTTTTTGAACCTCCATTTCCCCACTGCATGGGAATAATAACGTCTATCTCGTGTTGACTAATGAAGACAAAATGAGCAAAAGAGCCCACCCCAGGCCCAGTTCTGGGTATTCTTTGAGATACTGGTTGAGCACCTGATCTCTGAGACTTGTGGGGATGAGGGAGAAGCCAGGACACTTTCTAGCCCAGTGCTGGAGTCACAAGGTCTGGGTGGAGGCCCTTTGAACCCTGTGTTCACTTCCTCTCCCAATGAGTCAGTCCTTTTTCCAGCTGCCAGGCCCTCAGAATCCCTCCACCCAGCTCTTTCCTCCTTGCCTGGGACCTATGGACTTTAGACTACAGGAGCCAGTTGGTCCCCCGCCCAGAGGTCTTCAGGAGGGAATCCAGACCAACCAGGGAACGCTGAGCTTCATCCTAGAACAGCTGTAGGTATTGCCCTGTTTTACAAAGAAGGTAAGTAACCTGCCCAAGGTATCGAGTGCTTCCCAAATAGGGAAAGAGAGAGACAGGGACAGATGGATCCACACTGGGAGAGCTAGTTCGTGGAAGGTGGGAGCAGAGAGAAGAGGAACTAGGAAGCGAGTTTAGGTGAAGGGAAGATGGTTTTGTGGGTAGGGATATTCCCAAAATTCTCCCTTCTCGCTTCTTCATTTGCAAAGAATCCAATCCAGTCTGGCATACCAGTCCCTGCCCTGCAGGAGTGGGAAACAATGAAGTTCCTTGATGTGCTTAGTTTATTGGCCACTCTCCCCCAGGTAGGAAAGGGATGCTGGACCACAGAGCGTCCTGATGGCCAGAACTGGGTACCTGTGGGGAGGAGGAAGAGAGGATTAGCAAGACCAAGGCTGCCTAGAAGCAGCCCCTGAAGAACAAGTTAGCAACAAGTTGTCATCTACCCTTCCATTCTGGGCAATGGACTCCATAGACGGTGTAGTGGTGCCAGGGAGGCATAGTGGTGCACACCTATAATTCCAATACTCAGAGGCTGAAACAAGAGGATTTCAAGTTCGAGGCCAACCTAGGCTATCTAGTAAGACTTGTTCTCAAAAAAAAAGCTACTAAGGAGCTACGGGGTCAAGCCAGTGCTTGTGGGACTTGCCTTAGACTGGCAGCCAGACCAGAACTGTAGGGTCCTGCAGGCTCTGGATCACCGGGAACATGGCTTCTCAGGACCCTGTCTTCTGAGATTCTCCTTTTTCTGGGTCAGCTCTGATCCCCACAAAGCCAAGCCCTGTGCTTCAGGCTGGCTCCTAAGAGGACAGGGGCTCTGTTAGAAGATGCCCATTCCAATCAGCTCAGGCACAGGAGGTGGGGGTGGCATTGCTAACTTCTCTCAGGCTGAGGACCTTGAACAGAGGGAAAGGAAGCCCCAAGGGTCTGGACTTCAAGGCCTGGGCTCTTACTGCTTCTCAGCCTGTGTGAAGATACTGCACAGAAACCACCTTATATTTTGACGTCCTTTCCCTCCTCCCTTTCCTTCTTTTTCTTCCTTTTTCCTCCCCAGGAGGTGACACTACACCTGTACCAGTAGGAAACCCTAATAGCAGAGGAGCTGCAACTCCACCACCTGAGCGAATGCACAGCCCTCCCCGCTCCCAAGGGCCCATCACCAGAAAGGGCCAGGCCCCCATCCACTCCCAGGATGGATCCCTTGCCTTTCTTTTCAAACCTGCCCCTGCCTGGCCTCAAGCAAGAGGAAGACTTTCTTTCTGTTCTTCAAAGAAAACACTAAACTAGCCGGATTTGTTGGCACATGCCTATAATCCCAGCATGGGGAGGCTGAGGTAGGAGGATCGCCAAGAATTCAAGGCTAGCCTGGGCTACACAGTGAGATCAAAGCCAGCCTGGGCTACACCGTGAAACTCTGTCTCAAAAAACCAAACTAGGGCCATGGATTTAGCTCAGTGGTTTCACCGCCTGCTATGCAAGCGCAAAGACCCGAGTTCGATCTCTGGTACCAAAAAAAAAAAAAAAACCAAACTAGAAAAAAAAGAAAAAGAAAGAAGATGCTAAACTGAGTGTGCTGGTACACATCTATATTCCCAGCACTTGTGAAGCTGAGGTAGGAAGATCATGAGTTCAAGGCCAGCCTAGGCTATATAGAGAAGCTGTCTCAAACAAAACAAAACATGCCAGGCGTGATGGTGCATGCCTGTAATCCCAGCTCTCAGGAGGCTGAGCCAAGAGAATTTCCATAAGTTTAAGGCCAGCCTAAACTACATAACAAGACCCTCTCAAAAAACAAACAAACAGGGCGGGGGATTTAGCTCAGTGGTTTCACTGCCTGCTGCGCAAGCGCAAGGACCCAAGTTCGATCCCCTGTACCAAAACAAACAGGGCAGGGGATTTAGCTCAGTGGTGCCACAGCCTGTCTCGAAAGGTCAAGGTCCTGAGTTCAATCCCTGGTACCAAAAAAACAAAAACAAAACAAAAAGCAACAACAACAAAAAACACCACCACCAACAATACCAACCCTAACAATAGCTCAGTAGTTGCTCTGAATTGGGAGCATCTGTGCTATTACACAGTATATCCTCTCTGATCTTATAGCAACCCAGCTCAGTAAGTAAAACTACATCCATTCTACTTGTTTTTCAGCTTTTATTTTACATTAGTGCGTGTTTACAGTATATAATGATCACATTCCTTGGGAGGCACTGTTACGTGCACATAACACATCTCAATTAGTTTTTCATCCCCTTCCCTTTCTCCTCCTCTCCTCTCCCTACATCTCTCGATCCCTTTCCCCTTTCCAAAAGATCTACCTGCCTGTTTCCTATTTTTTTTTTTTTTTTTTTTGGTACCAGGGATTGAACTCCAGCTAAATCCCCGGCCCTATTTCCTACTATCTTTGATTTTGCTCTTTATTGTAAATAAATGTTGGGTTTCTCGCATAAGAGAAACCATGTGATATTTAAGCTTATGTGTCTGACCTATTTCCCTTAACATTATGGTCTCTATTCCCATTTTACAGATGAAGAAATTTTTCCAAAATCTACTATGGAACCCAGATCATAAATGTACTGGACTGTCAGTCGGGTCGTCTGAGAAGCAGGTGTGCATAGAGTTAGACAAACACTGCACTGGAGAAAACACTTGGAAAAGGTAAAGGGGAAAGGAACAAGGGGAAGCAGAAAGCTTAGGCCTGGAAACAGAGAGCAGAAAGGAAGAATTGGATTTCAATGGGCTCAGAGAACCCTCAGCGGCAGGCGGGGAGTCCCAGGCCAGGGAAAAGAGTCCATTTGAAGCAGGGTGTGTTGGAGCACACCTGTGATCCCAGCAGTAGGGAAGCTGAGGGAGGGGGAGTCAAGAGTTTGAGGCCAACCTGACCACATAGCAAGACTTTGTGCCAAAAAACCCCTCAAAATAAGTAAATAAATGAAGTTTTAAAAAGAAAAACCATTCAAAGGCCTTCTCTGTGAGTAGAAATGCCCCATGTACATCCCCAGCCTAGCTCAGGGATGGGCTTGAAGCAGCCCAGGCAGCAGCAGGCAGAAAGGAACAGTGGCAGGGCTGTCACCAGACCCATTCTCCCAGCAGATTGTGCCTCCATGGCTCCCCACAGACCCAGCATGCCACTCAAACTTTCAAGCGTGTGGCTTCTGTTGACATAATGATCTTTTGAACACTCAGGAAAGTTTCTGACCTCTTAACCTCTGGGTGTCCATGGGTCCTGAACTAAACTCTTCTTTGGGGCAATCCCTGGTCTTGTTGCTGAACTGCTGCCTCAGGCCTTCATGCAGGTACTGGAAAACATGTCAAACCGGGCATGGTGGTGCACGCCTGTAATCCCAGCACTTGGGAGGCTGAAGCAAAAGGATCAGGATCGCTGTGAGTTCGAGGCCAGCCTGGGCTACATAGTGAGTTCAGGGCCACCCTGAACTACAAAGGGAGACCCTGCCTCAAATAAACCAAAAAAAAGAAAAAAGAAAACATGTCGACCTTGTGCCCAGATAGATGCCCACCCTGTGATTTCAGGGTGTTTTCTCTGTGGTTTACCCAATTCCCTGCAGGTTTTGTTTGGACTGTGCCTTTCTCATCAGGTCGACACTGATGATGACCTTTGGCTGGCTTTCCTCTCCCAGAGGCTGAGGTCCTTTTAAGATACACACTCAGCCAGAGGTTGAGTCTAGATACTGTGCTGTGGACCTCCCTGGGGACATAGCTCAGTGGCCTCCAGTGGGACTGAAACTCCAGGGCAGCCCCGGAGGGAAAGTTGCCCAGACAGAACTTCCCAGGCATCCACTTGCACCAGTGCCAAATTGTCTATAGTACCCTCTACAGCTGCCTACTGCCTGACCCTACAGAGAGGTCCCCATGGAGGCAGAAAATCACAGTCAGTCTGATTTTGCCACTGTGAGGGGGGCAAGACCAAGGTCAGGCCTGGTCGCCCACTGCCTCCAGCCCTCCAGCCTGAGAGCTGTGCTAGCCCTGGTCTTGGGCTGGAGCTGTGGGAGACAGAAAGAGATGAGGTGCTCCTGTGAGGTCATCTCTGCCAATGACTTAGCGCTTTCCCAAGGCCCCCTGGGCTCCTGCTTCCCTGCCAGCTTCTAGATGGAGGGAAACAGACATTAACCTCACAATAGTCCAGGGGCAGGAGGCCATCAACCCTCCCCTTTATTATTTCTGTTCTCAGCCCTGGGCCTTAGGTAGAGTGGCATAATGCAAATCCAAGCACTGTTTTCAGAGGGCCATCAGAGCAGAAGGGTCCATGGCGGCTGGAGATCAGCCCATGTGGGTTGCCTGTAGACCAGCCCAAGGAGTTTGGTGGTGGGTGGAGGGGGGGCAGAAGGCTTTCTGGTTGAGGGGTTAAGGAGAGCTGCAGGGCTCCCCTGCTCACCCGCCCCTGATGAGAAGCTGTAATGAGCCTCTTGTACAGAAGCTGCTGGACACTGAGGCAGGCCAGTCCCCTGGGAGAGCTCCTATAGCCTGGGTGCAAGTGCCCAGTAACATAGAGAGCTGTTCTGACAGGAGAAAGAGCTGGTCTAAGTGGGAAGGAAACCCAGTTCCTGCAGGATCTTGAGGAATGGGTCTCTGAGTTTTGGTCAGAGACTCCCCTCAGCCCAGGTATCCACAGGTTAAAAAGTGACCAGCTAGAGGATTGGGGGAGGCATGCCTCAGAGGAGAAATAAAGAGGACTCATCCTCTTAGCTCAAGTGCCAGCACTCCCCACGGCCTTTCTCTGCCACTGACCAGTTGACCCTTCTTTCCTCTCAAGTCCTGTGGTTCCTACTTTGTGGAGAGCTCTTCTGGAGAGCTTTCAACTCTGTCCCATAGACTGAGGGTTCCCAAAAGGCAAGAGGCAGGCCTTGTTTCTCTTTATATTTGGTACATACTAAGTACACAATAAAAGTTGAATCAATAGAAAACCAGATGACTGAATGAGTGTGTATGTGTGTGGAGGGTGTGTGTGTGTGTGTGTGTGAATGGATAGATGGATGGATGGATATGAATGAGTGAATGGATGGGTGGGTGGGTAGACAGCAAGTAGAATAGAGGAAGAACATCTGCAAGAAGAGAAATCAAGGGCCAGGGATTTAGCTCAGTGGTGCTACCGCCTGCCTTGAAAGGCAGGTCCTGAGTTCAATCCCCTGTACAGAAAAAAGAAAGAGAGAGAAATCAATAATCACAATGAAATCTAGCAGTTAGCATATTGTGTCTTAAAAAGGGGAGACATCTGGAAGAATAGATGTTTCCTTAAGGAAGCAAGAGCATGTTTAGGGTCCAAGATGGAAGAAGCTGCCCAGACAGCCTTGGGACTGGGACTTGCTGAGATGTAGGAGGGAAGAGTGACAAGTGGATTTGCAGGAAGAAAGCCAGGTGAGAGACAGATGTCATGAAAGGTAGAACCACAGAAGGAGCCCAGGGACCAAGGGATAATGACAAGAATTCCCCAAAGGGAGCAATTTCCAGCAATCAAATAGCTTCTCTAAAGCAGAAGTATGAGGCCATTTTTGTTTGTTCATAACCATCCAGGATTTTTAGAGGAAAGCTCTGAGGGTTGTTAGAGAGGGAGTCCCTTGGTGTATCAAGGACACAGAGTGAACAGATTCTTGGGTTCCATTGCAGGCTCCTCCACAAGCCTGTCACGACCTTGAGCAAGTCCCTTCTCTGAGTCTCATTCTCCACACCTCTCACTTTCTTTTTCTTTTTTTCCAAGACAAAAGCATTTAAGTACATCTATAAATAAATATACACAGCAACTCATATCAGCTGCAAGGACAGAGCACCCGATACCCCATCTCTACAGTCACAGAAATGAAACCACTTTGTGTGATTCTTTCTCGTGCTTTTATGGTTCTTTCGGTAAATTCCGAGTAGTGGTGTGCAGGATGCCGATCCGGATGTTCCCTGTGGTCTTCATCTCAGTTGTCTCTTGCGTCTTGTTAATAACTTCTCATCAGAATGCCAGTCATTATTTTAAGTCATTTAAGAAGTTTTTTCAACGTTTTTTACCTCATGACGTTTTTCTATTCTCAGTTATTGAAAGAAAAATATTTTCCATTTCCCTAATCTCTTCTATAATAATCCTTTTTCACTTTCTGGACTGCTGATATTTAGCCACTGTAAATAGTTCTGCAATTAAATTTTTTGGAGAAAAATAATATTTACTTTTTGTTGGAGTGAGTTCTCATTATTTCAAACTCAGAGAAATTATATAGACCAAAGAGTTTTATCGAGAAAAAAAAATTACTTTTCCTCCACTCCCGTTTTCAATAAAATAGCCTCGGTTTCACTGTTAAGAAGAAAGGGGCACGCCCGAAGCCACAGAGCCCGCGTGCAGGAGGAAGCGAGTTCACCTTCACGAGTTCCCCAGGGTTCGGCGAAGGCGCCTGAGAGCCCGTGAGCGGCAGGGTCAGGGCCCCTGCGGGCGGGGTCGCACGAGGCCTCACCCCAAGGGAGGCGGGGTCCAGCTGGAGCCCCTGTGCTGGGAGAGTCCGAGGGGCTCGGGCTGCTGAGGACCCACCTCTCCCTCCAGCCCTCCCTTCGCTGGGCCTCCGCGTGGCCTTTCTTCTGCCGCCCGTCAGCAGCAGCCAGCCGCTCCCGCCCCCGGAGCCCTCCTCCCTTTCTGGGCGCCCACCCTCTCTGCCATTGCTCCGCGTTGCGTTCTCCTCGCCAGGGGCCATCGCCGCGGCTGGCCTGCCTGAGGACGGCCCTCCAGTCCCCGGCAGCAGCACCATGCTGAACAGGCCTTCCTCACCTGACCTCCCACAGCACCTCCAGGCCCAGGACGCCGGCAGGGAGACGGCAGGCAGGTGACCGTGATGATGGTGAGTCAAGGTGAGGCCGATTCCTGACGCGCCCCAGCTGGATTCACGGGGCTGGCTGTGATTCCTGCAGGCCCTGGCTCAGTGCACAGACCCAGCATCAGAGGACCATCGGGGCATCGAACCTCCTCTATTGCAGCCATGATCTGCCAGTGTCCAGTTTATTTTTACGTGTCCCGGGGTCTGTCACCTTCTAGGTTCCACTCAGCAGCCTCTCTGGATGCTTCTCAGGCCTCGGGCCAGAGCGGGGTCAGGCAGGGCGGCGAGGCTCTGTTACAGGCCACGCGCTTTTCCTCCACCTTACTTCATTTGTTCTTGGTTTTTGGTTTTGGGTGTTTTTGGTAGCGGGGATGGAACTCGGGACCTTGTGCTTGCGAGGCAGGCGGCGCCACTGAGCTACATCCCCGGCTCATTTGTTCTTTCAACAAGTACTCATTGATCGCTGGTTAGGTGTGGGTGGTCTTCGGGCGGGCGCGGGGACGAAGGAGTTAGCAAAATCAGCTCTTACTCTCATGCCGCTTGATCTTAGCCCGAAGAGACAGAAAAGGCAAAATTAGAGCAAATAAGTAAAGCCACCACACAAGCCTTATGACGCTAAGGGGGGCGGTTCGAGAGGGTCCGCGTGCAACCCCCGCCTGCGGCCCCGGCCACGGCTCCACGGCCCGCGCTGCGCTGGTCCCTCAGGCCTGGGTCTCGCGGGGCCTCGCGGGGCCTCGCGGGGTTACGGACGGGGGACCCCCGCGCCCCACGGAGACCCTCGGAGACGGAGACCGCTCGCACGCAGAGCCTGCCTCGCGAACCGCCTTCCGGGAGGCAACCTGTCACTTTCATTACCTGAAGGGTCTTACAGATCACATAGGGAGGGAGTTTTGCACAGTATAAAACTGTGACAACCAGGAGGATTGAGTATAGCTGTGCTATGACAGCTCAGGAGTCAGAAAGTCCTAGATGCAGATTCTTACTCAACTGCTCAGGCGCTAAGTCCCTACACCTTTCTGAGCCTGTTTCCCTAAAAGTGAAATGGGGAAAATAACATCTTGAGTTGTAAGATTTCAAAATAAGTCACTGAAAGTTCCTAACATTCAATAAATGGAGGGCAATATTCTAGAAAAGGGATTAATCTGGACTGCCATTGCAGCTGGGCAGTGGGCAGCCAGGTGCAGGCTGGGTCTCCCAGAGGAAAGAATACTTTCTTCTTACTGTCACAAAAGTACTGTATTAGTCACTGGTACAAAACACCTGACATGTACAATTTAAAAGAGGACAGAGTTTTCAGCTCACAGTTTCAGAGGGTTCAGTTCATGGGTTGCTGGCTCCAAGGCAGAAACAACATGGTAGAAGGGTCTGTTGGAACAGAGTTGCTCAACCCAAGGGATACAGGAAGTGGAGAAAAGGGAGGAGGAGCTGGGACAAGAGTACACCTTACCAAGTCACATCCCCAGTGACCTACCTTTTTCAGTAAGGCTCCACCTCCTAACAACACATTCAGCTATGAACTCATCAATGGATGAATCCACTGATGAGTATGGCACCCCCATGATCCAATCGTCTTCCAAAAGCATGAGAATTTTAGATCTAAACCGTAACAGGACCATTTGCTCCAGGTTCTGCACCTAAAGGGCTCCCTCCAGCAAACCTGGGACAGAAAACATTCCTTTCCAGCTTTAACCTCTTACTTTCCACAGAGGAGAGGTCTAAAGACCAGGCTGTGAACTTGGCTGATGATCTGACCCCAGTGGGCCCAGACATCTTCCTTACACAAGTGAAGAGCAGGATGCTGGCATCAGCAAGAGGAATCTTTCTCTATGTCTGGAAGCACTGTTTAGAGTCCTTGAAGGCCAGGCAGAGAAGGAGGGGCTCCAGCACCCCAAGTTCTTGGCAGAAACCTGTCATTCCACTACTCTACAGATCATTCTCGTGGCTCAGGAAATTATTCCTTTGTAAGTGCAAAAGTCAATGAACAGCCGGGGATTTAGCTCAGTGGCACCATGCCTGCCTCGAAAGCCCAAGGTCCTGAGTTTATCCTCTGTACAAAAAAAAAGTCAACGACTATAACAAGGAGCTACTATTTACTGACTGCTTTCTTGTGCCTGGCCCTGTGCTAAGAGATGTCTCCCACCCCTTTCCCATTTTTTCTATTTTGAAAATTGTTCAAACCTACAAAAAAGCTATAAAAATAGTACCATGAACACCCATGACCTAGATTCCTCAGTTAATATTTGCCACTTTTGTTTGTCTCCCTGAATATGTATGTTTTATTAAACCACTTCAGAATAGATTCCTGACATCATGATCTTCACCCCCTAAAACTTCACCATGTATCTCCTAAAGAAAAGGATGTTCTGTTATATAACCCAATGGCATCCTCAAAATTAAGACATTTTATGTGATAAAAAAGTATATATAAATTCACATTTGAATTTTTGCAGTTGTTTGAATGTCTTTTATAACTTTTTTTAAAATCCCAGATCTAATCAAGGTTGGTGCACCACACTGTGTTGTCATGGCTTCTCGGTCTCCTTTAAAACAGTTCTCCACTTCTTTTTGAAGGAGGTGTGGTTCTATTCTGTGGACATTTTGAAGTATTTAAGTCAGTTGTTTTGCCGAATGTCCCTCAGTTTTTCTTTTCTGCTGGTTTCATGCTAGTCCCAGGCTGGCCTGTACATTTAATGCTTGTAGTGACTCTGATGGGTTTTACTACTTCATTTTTATGGAGGTAGAGGGTGGAGCGGAGAGAGTGCTGTCACATCGCCACAGGGAGGCTGACCTGGGGTTGGAGGCAGAGACCATGGTTCTTGTCTGCTTCAAGGAGCAGTGTGGACTCTTTATCAGTTGGGTTCTTCTGAAGGATTCTTTTATCAGCCCCTTACAGCACCCTGGGCACAAATGAAAAGCACATTTTGACAGGTCCTGGTGTGGTAAACATAGGGTATGTAGGGGAAAGGACACCTCCAGCCTTCTGTCTTCAGTGAGCCATAGTCAGCCCTGTCCGACTCCTTCAGGCCACTGTAGGAATTTTATTTTCTTCTGCCCTCTTCTAGACCTCCAAGGGAAGCGATGCGTCACATCATACAGACACCACACGCAGCACACTATTGAGGGTGTAACAATCCTCTGGGTAGTCATCACTGAATTAAGTCCTGTTGCCTAGCAACTCTAGGACACTTCAGCCCTTTTCAGCCAGAGGGTGGGTGGAGGGGGCAACCACAAGACGAGCTGGATCCTTCTTGCTCTGGGGGTCTCCTCATGGCCAGTGACCTACCAATCAAGGAGGTCTTTGTCCTATGGGGAGCTGCCCTCCTCCTCACAGGGGATGAGCAGTCTCTTCAGGGCCCTTCCTCTTGACCTGGGGAACCACGCAAGTATGCTAAGGAACAACCGGCTCCGCCTGTGTAGTGCTAAGCCAGGGTCACAGTGCCCCTGTGGTGAACTCTGTGAAGAGTAAAGGGTGAAAGGAGAAGATTGGATGAGAACCTCAAGGCTGGAGAGAGAGGCCGGTTCTGCTGAGCCTTGCAGACCTTCTGGCCGAGCGTGCTTCTCTACAAAAGACCTGGTCCAGGGCCGGGGATTTAGCTCAATGGTTCTGCTGCCTGCTTTGCAAGCGCAAGGACCGGAGTTCGATCCCTGGCACCAAAAAAAGAAGAAGGAAGGAGAAGAAAGAAGGAGAAGAAGGAAGGGGGAGGGGGAGGGGGAGGGGGAGGGGAAGAAAAAAGACCTGGTCAGATCTTTAATAGCCAACCCTGCTGTTCTATGCATCTACACTGATAAGACAGATGCCAAGTTTGATCTTAGCCCCGTGGCTTAGAGGTGATTAATCTTGAGTGCCTGTATATAACTTGAACCATTTCATTTGGGCTGGGTTTAGGTCAGTGGTCCTTACCTGAGGCCCTCAAGACCCCTTAGGAGTCGGTGGACAGAACTCAGGGAGTTGGTAAACTTGGGGAAAAATTTACATCATTTCTGAAACTTATGAACTATTAACAAATCCATGGTTTTATGAAATATTAGTAAAATGTGACTTTTTGTTTGTAGAAACTACAAACTTTTATATTAGCTGTTGAAATATCAATTACACCATCATCATTTAAAAAATTATTTTTATTTTTGTAGTGCTAGCAATCGACCTCAACCTTGCACACTCTAGGTAAGCACTCTACTTAGACCCTCAGCCCAGACGTTACAGGAGCTGCTAGATCTGTTGCTAGATCGTTTTTTTTTTTTTTGGTACCAGGGATCAAACTCGGGACCTTGTACTTGTGAGGCAGGCGGCAGCACCACTGAGCTAAACCTCCTGCCCTGTTGCTACATCTTAATGTGCTCCTAAAGAATCCAGATGAATTTGATATTTCTGTTTTTTGAAATATTTTTATAAACTAAATTTAAATATAATTGATTTCCTTTGCAATCCCATGTACTTTTTATGCAAAACTTTAGCCTGAGGCCTCACCAGACTGTACCAAGACTATGGTACAAAAAAGCTTAAGAGCCTCAAGTTTAGGCTATAAAAGTTTTTGTCAAATATCCAAGGAAGATTTTTGTTGCTATTGTTTTGTTTCTTTCTTTCTTTTGGTTTGGGGTTTTTTTGCGCTGGGGATTGAACTCAGGACCTTGCACTTGCCAGGTGCGGTGCCACTGAGCTACATCTCAGCCCTTGTTTTGTTTGTTTTTAAGACAGGGTCTCACTGTGTAGTCCAGCCTGGCCATGAACTCACTAAGTAGCCCAGGCTAGCCTTGAACTCATGACAATCCTCCTGCCTCAGCCTCTTGAGTGTTGGGATTACAGACATGTAAAACCATGCCCAGCCTTAATTTTTGGTTTTTTGTTCTTTTAAGAGATAGGGTCCTGGGCTGGGGATTTAGCTCAGTGGTTCCTCTGCCCGCCCTGCAATTGCAAGGACCCAAGTTTGATCCCCGGTACCAAAAAAAAAAAAGACAGAGAGAGAAGGTCTTTCAGTATTGTTCAAGTTGGTCCTGAACTCCAGGCTCAAGCAACCTTTTTCCTGCTTCATCCTCCAAAGTAGCTGGGATTATCTTTTGAAGAGTAACTGAGTTAGGATCTCAAACATTAAATAACTTGATTTCCAAGGCTTCTCTGGTTTGGAATTAAAGAGCAAACTGCCCAGTAATTTCTGGAATTGTCAAGTGTGTTATCTCTGTGTTATTTCCTTAGTGGTCCAAAGTTGCTCTTGCACATTTCTAGGACTAAGGCACGTGGGTGGTTTTATGATGGTGTTGTTGAAGTGCTGTTTCATTTTCTTAAGATGTGGCTTCCTTGTGCTGTAAGCACTAACCATAAGTGGGGTCATCCCGTCATGAATTCAAAGGGATAGCCGGGGCTGAACGTGGGGTATGTGAAATATTCCTCTTTCCTAACCTATTTCTAGGAAGCATTTAAGTCATGTTTTTCTATACTTATAAATTTAAAAATCTATAGCAGGTAATGTACTTGCTATAATGAAAATTAGAAAACCTACAATGTGTCAGAGGTCTGACTAACATCTGTCTTAAAGAAGTAATGAACGATTAGCTTTGACACCTTCAAAGACTGGCTATCAAGCAGTGGACCCATGCTGGAGTTTTAAAATGATGTGCAGAGCTTGCGGGGAGCTTAGCCCCATCCAGCATGCAAGGTCATTCCCAGACTTCTCCAGTGTGACAAAGAACATTAAATGGTGGATGATTCTTGGTTAGGGATTTGGCTGTCAAAAAAACAGGACTTTTATGTTTACTATGAAATCTTATACAGAAAAAATAGCACATGTTTCCATTGGCTAATGGATGACACTTTCTAAATTGTCCCCTCTGCTTTTTATCAAATATATACATTTCAGGCCCCTGTTGGATCTGAAAATTCTAGCATTTATCTACTCATTGTATATTAATGATTGGAAAAAGCAAAGCATTTTATAAATGCTTATTTGAAAATTTAGTGGATCTTACAGAAGAAGATGGATTTAAATTGAACTCTCAAATCAAAATGACAGATTTGGAATTTGGTGCAATTAAGGCTTCTGAAAGTGAATTTCAAAGTGTTTACCAGCAAAGTTTTTTTTTTTTTCATACAGCCCAAAGCATTGATGGGAAATTCAGATGAATGGATTGGCCACCTGATAAGACAAGAAAAGCTCTAAGAATGCAGCGCCGGGGATGTAGCTCAGTGGTTCCGCCACCTGCCTCACAAGTGCAAGGACCTGAGTTCGATCTCCAGTACCAAAAAAAAAAAAAAAAAAAAAAGAATACATCCTATTCTAGCCAGGGTTGGTGGCACACACCTGTAATCCCAGCACTCAGGAGGCTGAGGCAGGAAGATCACTGAAAGTTTCAGGCCAGCCTGTGCTACATAGTGAGTTCAAGGCCAGCCTGAATTACATAGGAAGACCCTGTCTCAAAAAGAAAACAAAAAAATAATAGATAAATTAAAAAAATTTAAAATACAGATGCATCCTATTGTGCATTAGTATTCCTCTCAGCTGATGGAATTATAGGAGTTTCTCTGATTTCGATTTGTTTGTTGCTGTGGCGTTGGGTTTGAACCCAGGTCCTTTCACACACTAAGCAAGCACTTTAACATTGAGTACTACCCCCAACCCTAGGAGCTTCCAGTGAATTAAAGCCACATGTGCCTGAAGAAGCCAGTGAAGTCACTGAATGAATGATTCCAAAATAATTATGTGCACACTAGGATGAGAAGACATTAAAGCAGCGGTGTTGCAATTCCATCTCCAGCGCTGTTTCCACCAAGTCTGGGGCCTGTCTATGAGAGTGTGCAGAATGGATTTCCATGTCTCCGGAGAACACCAAAGCATGGCACAGAAGACGAAGCTGTTCACGGGGAATGCTCAGGTCGGCATGTAACAAATCAGAGCAACTCAAGGAGAAAACAAATGTGAATAGATTCTCTGAAGACAGTGATGCTCTAAAGGGGGAGAAAAAAGTAGCTATTTCATTGTCAATGCCAGGTTTCAAAATACAGTTAATGATCATAAACCTCAATCAGCTCTTGCACACTACCCCTGTCCATAATCTATCCCCAAAATATACTTTTTGTATGTTGAAGAGGTTTTTTTGAGTTTTTTCTTCTTTTTTACCCCCTGACTATTTTAAATTGTCAGTATTATTTTTATTTATTTAATTTTTTGGTACCAGGAATCAAACTCAGGACCTTGCACTTGCGAGGCAGGTGCAGTGCCACTGAGCCCAATTCCCTGCCCAGTATTATTTTTTTTTTCCTATGTTTAAATTTTATTCTATTTTTCTGTTTTCCACAGTGATTGTGGCTTTTAAATTTTTTAAAAATAATTTTTTGTCAGGAGCAATGCTACATAATTTTAGGGAAAAATCATTTGGTTAGCCTAGTTCTCCTGCCTACTAGCTATGGAATTTCCAGACACAATTCCATTTTGGCCTCCGGTCACAGTTGAGGCCTCAATGATCCGGTGATGCTGTCTGTGATTCTCCAGGACAAGAAACATCTTGGGAGCTGAAAACATCCTGGGAGGCACAAACATCTACTCAGTTCCTCATTGTTCTTGGACTGTTACATCTTGTTTATCCCGATGTACTGAATAAAAGGTGCGGTAAGCTGGGGGCTTTTGTCTTTGCCACCCAGAGCAGCACTAATCAGACCCAAAGCTCAGCTTCTTCTCAGTCTCATTTTTTTTTATCTTTCCTGTAATTCGCCTTGTGCTGCCGTGGCTCCCAGGAGACTAGGACTTACTCCAGAGGTTCTTGTAACGTCCCCTTTCCCTGTTCCCTACAATTTTTATTTTATTTTATCCCTTTCCCCCCAAGCCCTCTCCCCTCCCTATGTACAAAAGATTTGTTTCTATTTTTCCTTCTATTTTCACTTTTTTTCTTGTCCCTTTCTTTCTCCCTCCCTCCTCCCTTGTTCCCCTTCCCATTTGAATGCTTTCTTCCCACTTCCCAACATCCATTGTACATTTCAGTCCTTATTTCCGCTTTCAGTTTCTCACACCAGAGAAATAATGCAGTATTTAAACATGTGTCCGATTTATTTCACTTAAGAGTATGGTCTCAAGGTCCACCCATTTAGCTATAAATGTCTGAAGCTCATCCTTCTTTATGGCAGAGTAGTACTCTACTGTTTTAAAAAAACTTCTTTATCCACTCATCAGTTGATGGCTGGCCATTTGGACTGTTTCCAAGATATATTACAAACTGTGCTGCTGTAAACATGGGTGTGCATATATGGTATGATGTCAGCATTATTATTTTTTTTTGGTACCAGGGATCGAACTCAGCTCCTTGCGCTTGCGCAGCAGGCAGCAAAACCACTGAGCTAAATCCCTAGCTCTGTCAGCATTATTTTTATAACTCATTCCACTGTGTATTTTATCTTTGCATCATTTCCAATATTGGGGGTATAAATTCTGTAAAGACTAGTAGAACACTGCAATTCATTTTATGTATTTTTTTTGAAAAGTGCATTATCACCATGTTGCCTCTGTCAGCACTGTGTGTGTGTGTGTGTGTGTGTGTGTGTGTGTGTGTAAAACACGGAAGCTTCCTCAATAAATGAAAAGATGTACTTTTGGTACATCTGCACTTGTAAAAGGTAACATTTTGACTGACTTCATCAAAAGAGTTAGGTTGTCTGCCAGGATTTCAGAGGGCCACAGTTGCAGAGCTAGGTGCACACAATTACCAACCATAGTGATATACATTTACACATTTTGCTTTGTAAGCTATTTGTCTATAAATGTGGTCTGCCTGCACAGAACCGTTATACCAGTACAATCATCATTAGTATACCTGAGTGTTTACACTGGCAAAAATATGCATGTTATTATTGCCAATTTTATTGTGTAAAGTGCCCTATGAAGTGTTCTTTTGTGGTTTTATATGTTTCTTGAACAAATCTATTGAAATGTAAATGTGTTTTCTAAGAATTTTCTAAAATTACTTTTTCCAGAATTATACATTTTGAATTTTGATCTTTTGCAATTTCAACATCAGGGGTCATGCTGTTTGTGTCTTTTGGGGTTCTGGCCGTACCTTTCCTGGCATGACTTCTGCCACACCCCGCTGGTGTTTGCTTTCTCCTCTGCCACCTTCCCCATGCTCTTGTATCCTCCCTTGCGAATACTAGTTGCTGAGCCACCACCCCTGACTTTGAACTTGGGTGGACTCTCTTCTGTCATTCTGGCTCCTGAAGAGTCCAGAAAACTTTTAGTTTGACATTCTTTTTCTAGAAGGAACTTGGAAAATAAGTTTCCCAGGCATGGCTGGAGAAAACTATCTGAGGAACATCACCCAGAGCAATATCAGAGGCAGTTTCTAAAGCAGAGTCCTTTTTAAAAAATGTTTAATTGTAGCGAAAAGCACACCATACACATTTACCCTCTTAACAAGTTTTAAATGTTCGGTATGGTATTGCTAACTGCACACATGGTTGCTCTGTAGATCCCTGTAACCCTTCCTCCCTCCCTCTCTCCCTCCCTCCCTCCCTGCCTCTCTCTCTCTTTCTTTCCTTAATTCTTTCTTTCTTTCTTTCTTTGAGACAGGTCTCACTTGTGTGGTTTAGAATGGCCTTGAACTCAGTACGTAGCCCAGGGTGGCCTTGAATTTGCAGTGATCCTCCTGCCTCAGCCGCCAAAACCACACCTGGGATTACAGTTGTGCACCACCATGCCTGGCTTTGTAACTTTTCGTTTTGCATGACTTAAGCCTTACGTCTATTGAACATCTTCCCATCTTCCCTGCCCCACCCCAGGCAACCACCATTCTACTTTCTATTTTTGTAAGTTTGAAAACTTTAGATACCCCATAAAAGAAAGAGAAATCATACAGTATTTGTCTTCTTGAAACTGGTTCATTTTGCTTAGCGGAATATCCTCAAGATTCATCTATGTTGTAGCATTTTCAGGCTGGATAATCTTCATATATGTCATATATATTGTATTTACTTTATCCATTCACCCAACAGTAGACACTTAGCTTATTTCCATATCTTGACTATTGTGAATAATTCCTCAACCAATATGGGTGTACAGATACTTCTTTAAAGCCCTGAGTTCAATTCTTCTAACAGTGGGGTTACTGGATAATAGGATGGTTCTATTTTTAATTTTTTGAGGAAGTTCCATAGTGTTCCCCATAGTGGCTGCATCATTTTATAATCCCACCAATAGTGTACAAAGGTTCCAATTTCTCCACACCTTCCACAAGGTTTGTTTTGTTTTGTTTTTAAACAAGAAGTTTATTTAAACGACAAGACACTTGACTTAAAGGGAAAACTAGGATTCTTTTTCTTTTAAAGAGTAATTTACTCTTACATAAAGACAGATTGCCCTACATGTAACAGCTACGTACAAAAAAGTTATGAAATGTCCTTCGTTTTACAATGATAAAAACATTAAAATTCTCCAAACAAGGTATGCAAGGATTTTTATGTTTTTGTCTTTTCTGATGTCTTTTCTGTTAAAACAGTGAGAGCAAAATAATTTACTGGAATATAAAGATAAGAGCTGATGAGCATGCCACTAATGGAGAGAGGGAATTATTTTCACAGAACCAGTATCTCCCCATCCCGTCTCCATCTGATGTCAATCAAAACATATTGTTGGCCATTTAGTAAAAACAAGGCAATATGCTTGTGCACATACACCAGAGACTTTATGTACAATAAAGGAATGGGGAAGGGGTAAATGAAAAAATAGAGAAAACTGTACTGTAGTAGTCAGGATGTGGTGGAACCAAATTGCAGTTTTCTAATTGAGAATGTATTCTTGGTCTGTAAGCACAGAGTTCTGGAGTAGAGTTGTTGCAGGTTCCCTTTTTAGTAGACACCTCCTGTCTGCTGCTGGAGCACATCAATTGTATCTTCGTCCTCCATTTCCAACTGTGCAGGTGTGTCTGTTTCATTGATTGGCTGTCCATCAAATCGGAATCTGATTTGCCTCATTGATAAACCCTGTTGTTCACAATAGGTTTTCATTAGTTTACTAAGTGGTGTATGCCTCTTAATCTTAAACTGCACCACAGAACCATCCTGCCCCGCCACCTTCAAATTAATATGATTGTTGTTCTCAGTCTTGACTCCTTCCTTGGGCTTTTCGTTGGCCATGTAGAGCGCCCGAGTCTTCTCAGCTGCCGCTTCACAAAAGAGGTACCAGGTCCACACCAAATGAGCACACAAGCAGCTCCAGGAGTGGCAGAAGGAGGCCCACAAGGTTTTTGTTTCTTTTGATAGTGGCCATCCTAACGGATGTCAAGGG